TTGAATTGAAACACTAAAAAAACATCTAAGCCGTTTTCTCGCGTCCCCTTTTTGACATTGGATCAAGACAGGCAGACAGGTTTGAAATGGGCAATGTTGTTTTCATTGACTGGTTCGAACTGGTTTTGAACCAATGTCAAAAAAGAAAACGGCTTAGATGTTTTTTAGTGTTTCAATTCAAATCAAAAATACTATACCATCGGACGGTCGGATAACGGACGCGACACTCCAGCCTATCACGTGTACGGTAGTGATAATAGTAATATACATTAGTTGGGGAGCTGGCGTCAAAAACATGCAAGAGTTTTCGCAAGGCGGATATTTTCAAAATAGGTCGTACTTTAGTGTTAGAATGCTAGTGTACAGTCAGCACTCACAGTTCCGGGACAGCTGGCTCTGGGACGCGGGCAAAGTTGTAATTTTAAGAAGCATCCAAACTGTTTTCTCAAAGCTCAAAATTTATAGAAATTTTGCACATTATCTGTTTGAAGGTCACAGATAACGTATGTAAATGGTCAGACGTCTAGTTCATTGCAAAAAGGGGGTCAGACGTCCTCAAAGTTTTTATTTTATGGCATTTTCTTCGGTGTCCTGTCAAAATATATTTTTGCAGGTATTTGACAAATATATTTGAAGAAAATGCCATAAAATAAAAACTTTGAGGACGTCTGACCCACTTTTTGCAACGAACTAGACGTCTGACGATTTACATACGGTATCTGTGACATTCAAACAGATAATGAATGTGCATAATTTCTATAAATTTTGAGCTTTGAGAAAACAGTTTAGATGCTTCTTAAAATTACAACTTTGCCCGCGTCCCAGAGCCAGCTGTCCCGGAACTGTGAGTGCTGACTGTACACTAGCATTCTAGCACTAAAGTACGACCTATTTTGAAAATATCCGCCTTGCGAAAACTCTTGCATGTTTTTGGCGTCACCTCCTGGACTACATGGTTTCTTTTTTTTTGAGGAAAATATATGAGAAATAGTCTCATATTAAACATGCTAATATGAGATATGAGAAACAGTAAAAATATATGAGTCTCATATTAAAAATAGGAGGTCTGGCAACCCTACAGGTAGCACGCGTCCTCCCAACAACTGGCCGCCTGTTCGTGCAATATAGTTTAAAGGTATTTGTCTCTTTTTTTTTTTAAATCTGTATAGTATAATATACCTAGATAGAATATGCCGCCCCCTCGGGCTGCCGCCCTCGTGCGGCGCACGAGTTGCACGAGTGTCAAATCCGGCCCTGAGGGTAAAGGGGTATGGTATAGTTGCAATGTTTACCCTGCTGTTATGCCTAACCCGGGGATGACTTGCTATTCAAAAACCGGCCCTAAGCCAGCTACAACATCTGCAACGTGCCGGTGAATTCGGTATTCGGTGGGGATGCCTCTAAACATTTTTAAAAAACCGGGCCACAGTGCACCTTTTTGCGCCTTTATTTGCGGGCGCAATTTAATACTTTCCGGCCCGCAAGGCCGCAAAGTGCCACCATGGTGTAGGTGTTAAAAATTGAACGAATACTGGTGAAAATTAGTTATTTTTACCGTAAAATGCTTGAGACAGAAATTACAGAAGCTGGGTTCGGCTATTCAGCGCGGAGTTGGAGCCCGAACCTTAACCCGAACGGCTGGAGTGCGAATGGAGTCACTCGGAGTGCACGGAGTGAGCAAGCCGAACCCGCCTAGATAAAACCAACAGAACCGACATCCGAATACCGGTAACTATTTTGACATTTGGTTAACGGCGGTTAACCAGATTTCAGGAAACCGAGGTCCAAAAGTAACCACTTTTCCAGGAACCAGAGTGATTTGATTACTGTTGGACCGCGAAACCACAAACCTGCTTATATTCGGACCACAGCCTGAATGTTTGTTTGGTTGTTTGGTTGGTTACTGTAGCTTCTACTGGTAGTTTTGAAATAACCTCAATTTCTGTTTATTATTTGACTTTGAAAGATGAGTGTATTTATTCTATTTATAATTTTATTTAAAATAAATATTTGCGAAACATAATTACTCGCGGTCATACATAAAATCTTGTATGTACCACAGGCGCAAAAGGTGTATGAGACCCTCCGCGTGTTTATAGCTCTCGGCTGCGCCTCGTGCTCGAATTTCCACTTGGCGGGTCGCAAACACCCTAGGTACTTATACATATATAACAATAGTGTCGGTAGGGCAGGTACTTCCCATTTTTTATTGTATTCTTACTCCTCTCCTTTTTATTACCATGCATAGCTGCTTTTTTGATATAAATTGATCTAAATAGGGCCCCAAAGCAATGCAATAACGTGAAAACAAGTGCCCCCCCCCCCTACATTTTTGTGGCCCACCCTGCCCCCCCCTAACATAAAACCCTTGCGTCGCCAATGGTATACTTACCCGTTGCTATTCCGAGTTCAAAGAAGTATAGAGGTATAACAGATTATTATTGTAGGCACTTGATTGCGCAACTTTTTCCCCATTTGGTCTACCCTGTATCTTCAATAGTTTCCAACACACGTACCATCGTCATCAAAAGTAACTGGGACATCATAATATTAGCTCTTTGGGGATTTCGGGATGATAAATTCGACCAAATTGGGACATCCTTTTCTTTTTAATAATATGCTTATATTGCTGCATCCTCCTGTTTGACTATAAAATCAAAATTCAAAAATTTTTCTTAATAAACGACATCGTTGATTATGTCAGTAACGGTGCAATAACAACCATATGACTTTGATTCCAAAAATCGAGGTCGATGAGCAATCCTGTAATAGTAGTAATGTAATATCCTTGCCCTAGTGCCCTAACCTTGGCTCAAGGATATTACACACTGCACAGGATAGCCTATTCTCATAATAAAGGCCTGTGTAGTTCAAAGGTCTGTTCTCACAGAAATCACAAAACAGTCAGAGCAAATTTCATTGGTTGGAAATAGTCAGAAATCTGGTTGTCGGTGATTCGCACGAGTCAAAAACGCTCTGACTGGTTTGTGATCTCTGTGAGGAACATACCTCAAATCTCAAGCCCCCCACCATGCCAAAGTACCAGTGATTACGTAGTCAGCGTGTCGTTTTTCGCCTTAACCTAGGGTGTTTGCACCACACTTTATGAATACTTTGAAATTAACATTCTAAAACCACTCTTCCTTTGGATCTTATTTGGAGCTTCTTCTTTGCCCATTATGTTAAGCAAAATTAAATATTATTTCTCATCATAAATTCATATTCTTATCTACGACCGCTGGCGCAAACAGCTAACAAAGTTCAGGACGTCGACAACGGTGCAACACCCATATGACCTTGGTTCAAAAAGTCAAGGCTGATGAGCAATTCCTGTTGCAGTGTTCAATATCCTTGACCATAACATCGTCCTGAGGCACAAGTTCCGGACCTATCCGTCCGAACCCATATAAAAGTGATTTATATTCATTCATTATGAATTAGGCAATTCAATATCTGTCAAATAGGAAAATTCAATATGGCGTGGCGGCCAAGCAAGTTTGTTTTGAATGTGTTTTAATGCGTATTTGAAATTATTTTGCTTAGAGTTTTGCTTGCAATTCTGATTTGGATTATTTAATAAAATATTTGTTGACTAGGTACCTAAACTAATAAATCGGGCAGAATCTAGATATTTTTTTTTGTGTTTTTTGGCCCATGTGTGGCCGCTACGTCATCTTGAAAGTCACGTGGTTTGAATTGCCTAATTAAATATAAATCACTTTTCTATAGTCCAACCTTTGCCAACATGTCAAAAAAGGTTTTGCGTGTGCATAGATAGAATCATGACGTAAACTGTACGATTTCCTGCTGTCTTGGAATTGGTTGGAAAGCTTATGCTTTGGTCTCACCATAGAGAAATAGAGCCACCAGCATCAATCAGCGGGGTGGTAAGGCTTCAGGATCAAGAGATGAAGCTCCGAAAAGCAAATGCACCTACTAGATAAAAGAACGCGACGCTTAAAAAGTGCGAATCCGAATCACTCCAAGTCACTCGCAGTTGTAAAAAGAAAGCCGCTCTAAATTATCGGACCTAATGGGCGCTTTCTTTTAATTCAACGATGGATTCATCGATGACTAGTCTATCTTCGTCTAGTTTATAGAAAATCGGAATGGCTATTTCATAATTCTGGCAGCAGATGGATCCATCCTTAGCGCACTAAGTCTATTTCCATCTCTTATTTCTCTCGGGCTGTTACAGAAACAGATCGAAATACATTTTATTTGCACTGATTCGATCCTATCAACCGAAAATCACACATCACATTTCGCAAAACATCTAATCGAACATTGTATCGACCTCATGCTCATGGTACCGACCTCATGCTCATGGTACCGACCTCATGCTCATGGTACCGACTAGCGATGGATATTGGATAACTAAAATGAGTAATGACGAACGGAACACTCTAACTTTGCGTTTGGTATTTTCCTTGCGTTCGTTATTTTGCTCAAAGAGCAGAGCGTGCAGAGCGGAGCTGTAATCACGTGACCAGCGAGCACACAGAGCAGTTGAACGCTGTATCAGAGGGCTCGAAATTTCAATAAATGAACGTGAATGAGCCTGCACCGAGTACACTTATTAACTAAACGAAGGGTAAATTTATGCTCCGAGAACTCAGATCAAAATACCGAACGCACGGTTTGCTCAAGGAGCAGAGCGTGCAGAGCGGAGCTGGATTCACATGACCAGCGAGCGAACAGAGTAGTTGAACGCTGTATCAGAGTACCAGAAATTTTGATAGACGAACGCGAATGAGCCTGCACCGAGTACACTTTTTAAATGAACGAACGGTAAATTCAAGTTCGGAGAACTCAGATCAAAATATCGAACGCACAGTAAGTATCAAAGGGCTCCAAATTTTAATAAATGAGCGTGAATGAGCCTGCACCCTTTTCAAATAAACGAACGGTAAATTCATGCTCGGAGAACTCGGATCAAAATACCGAACGCACGGTAATACCATTTGCTGTCAAATGATAATTGTCATAATGTAAAGGTCAAACATTATTTGACAGATTATTTAATTTAAAAAAAAAAATCAATTCCAAAATTTCTGTGCAACTATTTTAATTGAAATGTTTTAAAATTTGTAGTTAAAATGTTATTTTTACAATCAAAATTATGCTCATTATGCAGATCAAGTACGCACAAATATTATTCGAAACTATCTTCATTCAAACATTTCTTTCCCTTGTATCTCAGGTCTCTCAAGAAAGTATTGTTCAGAAGTGACCCAAAACAAAGTAAAAGCGTGCGAATCTCAAAATAGGAAGGCTCTAGGTCAACCGGCCCCTCACACACATCCACATTTGCTAGGGGAAAATGAGGTCACCCCCTTAATCAAAAAGGAAGAGTATCAAAGCAGGAGGCAAAAACTAGTTGAAACTATAGTTGAGCATGCAAACAAACAAAACTGCCTGTCATCAGATCATGTGGTAAGAGCTTCCAGTTTATGTACAGTTTCATTCTCAAGCCATCATCTCAATGCCAAAGTTGAGCTTAAAGTTCCTTATGTGGGCAGCCTAGAACCTAGCCCATTTTACTCTATTATATTACCAAATAATGTAGTTATACTACCTAATGAAATGTTCTCAGAAACTTTAGATATTGTCAAAAATGAATTTTAGTGTAGGAAACATCATTCATCATTGAGAGTTTTATCAAGATGTATAGTATTTACCTCAGATTAATTTACAAAGTCAGTTGAAACAAGGTACAGGTAAATTACAACTGGGGACTGAATATTTTCATAAGAAATGCACTGCCACTAGTCAGCCACCAGTTGCAAATTAAGTACCTATCTTTACCTTGTTTCAACTGACTGTAAATACTTTACCTGAAGATGTACTTAAGGTGTATTTTTTCCAAAGATGCTTTGAAAAGCAGAAAACTTTGAAACATAAACAATACTGCTTGGCCCTGATTGGCCGCAACATTCCGTGTCCCAGCAGGTTGGAATCAGTTTCACATGTATGTCGTGCAAATGGTATCTTGCAACCAATAATGGCATTGTTTGTTTCAAAGTTGTCAATGACAAAATCTATATTGGGAAAAAATAGTTTACTTGATAGTTAAGTTGTGCAAACTTTTAACTTTTTTTAATTTACAAGCATATTATTATTATGTGTATGTTTCCTCAGTATGTTCTGACATGAGACATTACTTACATGGGCCTAAAAACACAGGAAGACTACTTAAAATTGACCGCTGAATTAGATGATTAATTGTCATTTTTAGAGATATTTCTAAGCCAACCCTTAGTACTGGTGGTTTATTTGCCCGATAAACTAATTAATTGAAGAACCAACTGAAAGTCTGAGACAGCATGGTTATGGTTGTCTTCGGAATTTTTGCCTCTTCCTGTACTAAAAATCTATCCATTTTTATGTATTTTCAGAGATTTATGAAGTATGAAACAATTTTAATTCTGGAATTTCAGGCTGAAGTATGTACTCTCTTCTTATATCTCTGACATTTTCATGAGAATTTTTATTTTCAATTAACACTACTGTGGGATTTTGTATTCAAAGAACGCGATTTTATTTCTGGAACTGTTAAGTCCAAATGAGCTGAAATTGTCGCGGATTGTAGTTCTCCACGAGGATAAGAATCACTGAAAGTTTCAGTTTTCTATCTATACCTAATAGAAAAAAGTTATGATATTTAAAAGTTTTTAAAAATCTAAATCCAGAAGGTACAGGGTGTTTTTTTATACATTGAGACTGCACTTACAGCCTTTACCTTTACAGGTACAAGAAAGGTGTAAATACAAAAGTTGTATAATCTTTCCAGAGTCAGTTGAAACACACTAATGCAGTGTTAAACTCAAAAGAAGAAGAAGTTGAAACAAGGTAAAGGTAAATCCGAGGGTAAATCACAACTGGTGACTGAATATTTTCATAAGAAATACATTGCCACTAGTCAGCCACCAGTTGCAATTTATTATTACCTTGTTTCAATTGACTTTTGAAATACTATACCAGGTGATTGTCTATATTTTGCACCCACACCTATTTCACCTGTTTAAAGAGATACCCAGAAATCTCAAATGTGGAAGTTGTAGGTAATATCAGTAAGTTTTTAATAATGTTCGTTACAAGTATACTGGATGTGACACAAAAGCGTGGCGAAGCAAAGTTATACTGTTTTAAATATAAAAACCTGTACATTATTGTTCCATTGGATTAGCCTTTCAAACCTGATCCCAAATATATTAGGTTTTTTAGGTTGATTCCTCATACTCCAGCCTCTGAATATCCCATTTTGGAGAAATTAAAGTCTGTTTTTTTTTTTAAAGATAATTCCCCAAGTCAAAAATTTAGTAACTATGTTGGCAACGCAAGCCATAAAAAATTTGAAAACATTGACAATTTTACATTGTATTGCCAACATAATGTCAGTTTGACTTATATCTTAAAAAAAAAAACAGATTTTATAAGTATTTTTTACATGAATGATTACCTTTATATTTTGCTGGTTGCCTCTATACTTCACCTCACAGATTAACCCGTCCTAAAGATAGGAAACTCGTGACTTTTCCCCTATCCTTGTCTTACTCATACAACGAGTTGTATGACTGCCACAGCATGGGGGCGCTAGTGTGCACTTTAGTGTGTTCAGTGTTGTAGCAGTAGTCACGTGGTCTCCCGCCTTTTTTCAAATAATTTGTCCCTAATCAATTTTATTTTATTATTATCTGTAATTTTTTTTAAAATAAAACAACATTTTGGTACCATCTCCTTCTTTATTGGAACAGCCCTAAACACAACAATAATAGAAAAACGCATTGAAAAAAAAACAATAAAAATTTTATAATACTGCAAATGAAATTCACTAATTCCACATCCAGGAAAGTCTCTGAGGATAAAGTGGTGATGGCATGAATTCAGAAGCTTCCACTGCAGTAATACCTATGCTATAAATGAGGGTATATTTTTAAGAATTTTGGTCTTATTTGGTGCACAAATCACATTTCATGTGAATGTCAAACAATGGCGAATAAAAACCACCACTAATCCCATTTCCACGAGCATTTCCACTATGTTTGAATGTAACATAAAGTCTCTTTTTTTAAAAACATATTAACAAGTCAAACTTTTATCAAAAATTGATAGGAAATTAAATAAAACAACACTAACACAGATCAAACGGCTAACTGATGACAAACACATTGACAAATTATATTCACCATTCACAGTTCACAGATAACATTTGCTTGTGGCTTTGTATACTAGCGCCGCATAGCTTTGGCAGTTATGAAGCACCACACGTGTTATTTTCGAGACAGCTCCGAACGAACATTTTACATGGAAGCAAGCATGGAAGTTTCCTATCTTTAGAACGGGTTAATCTGTGCTTCACCTTTTTCAATAAAAATGCGATTATTCCACTCCTTTTTGTCCTATTTTCTCACAGATTATTAGGAATAAACCTGAAAACCTAGTATATTTGGAATCAGGTTTGAAAGGCTAATATACGGAGTTTTCCATTTAAAAAAGTATAACTTTGCTTCGCCACACTTTTGTGTCACACCTACATCATTGAAAACTTTCTGACATTACCTTCAACTTTCACATTTGACATTTCTGGGTACCTCTTCAAACAGGTGAGATAGGCGTGGGTGCAAAATATGGACAATCACCCGGTACAGTTTTGGCTGAATTTTTAAAATCCACGTCAGAAATGTAAAATAATGCATGCTTTCAGCTTTTTTCAAATGGGATGCCCTATAATATTTGGTTCTGTTCTATAATCTTGAAGAGCACAATTTCTAGATTCCAAAAATATATAAGTAGTTTGTCTACATTTGATTGAGCAGTCTCGAACATATTTGGTTCTAAAAATACTATCAGAGAAATCAAGTAAAATTTGTTTCACCAGGGTTCATACTTTTGACATAATTTGACTTCCTTTTATAACAAATAGAAATTGACTGAGACAAATCAATGACGTCAAAAACGTTCGTCGGTTCTTAAACCAGAAGTCATTCATTTTAATTTGTCAAAAAAATGAATGTGTCATATGAATTATTCTAAAGGCCTTTTTGGAAACACTGATCCAATTAACCGGATCATCACCTGATATCCTTTGTCTATTTTCAATTGTATTAATTAAAGGAAGATAAAAGATAAACAGCTGGTGACTGAGTTAATCGGATCTAGCTTTCTCCAGTACAGGGTGGCCCAAATTCGAGCCTCATCATTGGGATTTCGGTTACCGTAAGAGATACGGGGTCGGTTAAATTATGGCAAAGTTGCGCAATTTTATGACCAATAGAGTGCCGTTTTGAAACTAAAAATATTTCGAATACTTCCGGAGATATTCGGAAAAAGCCGAAATTTTGTAAAATCGTTGGGCTTATTTGAAGAACAATTTTAAAATAAATGTTACTTCATCATTATCACTTTTTCCCCTTTAGAAGATGGTGCTACTACATTTAAAATTCGACGTTTCGTCTTCAGGCGGCCATCCTCAACTTCCTTTTTTTAAATACGGACCTGGATGTTTTATTTGCGATTTTGTCATCTTTGAACATCCTAAAACCGATACTGTTTATAATTTTTTCTCCGAATGACAGTAAAAGTGGCTTTTTAATGACACTTGACAGGATCAAAACTTGTATTTTTACTGCCTGGCATTAAAAGTGACAGTGTCACAACGTTCCAGGTAATAATTTCACTCAATTTGGTATTTGAAATTGATGGCGACAATGACGATTGTCAAAATAATTTAATTATTTGGATAATAATAATGAATGAAATAAATATAAAAAAGATGTCCATGTGTGAATTTGAACATTCGGAGAGAAAATTATATGTTTTACATGGCAGAAAAGCAGATTTAATGCCTCGGCTGGTTTCCTAGCCTCGGCTATAAAACACCAGCCGCGGCATTAAATCTCGTACTTTTCTGCCTAGTAAAACAAATAACTATTTCAATAACACAGTAAAAAAAGCAGGTCCGTATTTAAAAAAAAAAATATTGTTGATGATTCCAGAGGAACGAAATGTTGGATTTTAAATTTAATACCGTCATCTTGTAGAGAAGAAAAAGTGACAATGGGAATGTAAAATTAGTTTTTCACATTGAGCTTTAAACTGCTAGAGGGATCAACAAGCATATTTGTTTTGTTCCATAATGTGGTAGCGGGGTCAGAGGGGTGATTCATCCGATAAACAAAACGAAAAAAGGCCCTGTTGCCGAATTTTTTCCTGTTCGAATAATAATCTCGATAATAATGAATATCGTCATCTATCGAAAAGTATCTATTTCAAATTTGTCTGCTTATAATAATATTAAAAATATACTTGCGACTTTTTAAGTCTATACTTAAAATAATTCTAAAACAACAATACCTTTCATCACGACTCAATTTGGTTTTAAATGGAACTACGTACCTACTTCTAAAGAAAGATTTTACAGTCTGGCAATAACGTAGTAATTGTTTTGTGTTCTCGGTGTTCTCAACTTTCTTGTGACAAATCAGCTGACTGCGTTCGAGAACCTGGTGTGTCGTATAAAAATCACACAGCTGCCGTTCGGAAAGGCGAAGTGTGGATTAAAATCATATGGTTTTCGGCGTTCGGAAGGGTGTTTGACACGTATTGATGTGCGCACCGAATACTCTAGAGTGAAATTTAAGCTCACATTTTGAAGATGCACTCCCTGAAATAATTTCCACACCAATAACCAGGTTTTCGAACGCAGCTCTCTGATACCCAAAACATAAACAGACTGGTGTATAAACATTCTATTTTCATAAGTGCGAGAAAGAGGGTCTGGTCTCATTCTGGAACCAAACAAATTCTATAGCACATTATTATCGTTATTAGTCTAGACAGTCTAGAGAGAGAGAGTGTTCAATGGTCGAAGGTTTTTCACAATCTTTTTAAATAAAATCAGGAAAAAATTCAAACTGTACGAAAAAAACATGAATTTCTCGTTTTTCTTAAATTTTTTCCTGATTCCATTTAAAAAGATTTTGATTTGAAAAACTAATTTCACATTCTCATTGTCACTTTTTCTTCCCTACAAGATGGCGGTATTAAATTTGAAATCCAACGTTTCGTTCCTCTGGAATCATCATCATCATTTTTTTTTTTTTATAAATATGGACCTGCTTTTTTTACCGTGTTATTCAAAAATTATAAACAGTATCGCAAATAAAAAATCTAGGTCCGTATTTAAAAAACCTAAGTTGAGGATGGCCGCCTGAAGACGAAACGTCGAATTTTAAATTTAGTAGCACCATCTTCTAAAGGGGAAAAAGTGACAATGATGAAGTGACATTTATTTTAAAATTGCTTTTCAAATAAGCCCGGGAAAAAATAAAAACGATTTTACAAAATTTCGGTTTTTTTCCGAATATCTCCGGAAGTATTCGGAATCTTTCTAGTTTCAGAACGGCATTCTATTGGTCATAAAATTGCGCAACTTTGCCATAATTTAACCGACCCCGTATTTCTTACGGTTACCGAGATCCCAATGATGAGGTTCGAATTTGGGCCACCCTGTACAGGTAGAATGGAATGGTTCACAAAATCATAGTAGGATAGTATTTTTACATTTTTTGTAGCCGAATATATATAAGAGTCTACTCAACCAAATATAGAGAAACTATATATTTTTGGAATCGGGGCATTGTGCTCTTCAAGAATATAGAACCAAATATAGGGCATCTCATTTGAAAAAAGCTGACAGCATGCGAAATTTCACATTTCTGACATTCTATTTGTCGTTTTGACAATGGATTCTAATAATTTAGCCAAAGCTGTACATTTTTTGTATATACACCTTTCTTCTACCTGTAAAGGTAAAGGCTGTAGGTGGGGTGTCAACTCGGGTGTCCATATGGAAAAAAACACCCTGTACTTTAGTACTAGAATGATGAAATTGCAAATTTTTTTATGTTGAGACTTTGTCTTTACATAGTTTGTGCAATCATTGCATAAAAAGGCTCTCATTCCACCATAATTTATCCCCCAACTTTATTTTGCTACTATCGTTTTTTCTGCTGGTGCATATTTATCTAATACATTTATAAAGAACTGGAGTAAAACACACAGTCTATCTTCACTCTTTATTTTACAAAAATAATCAGTTGGAAGGGGGGTTGTACATGTTTCGGATCTATCATAGATCCATCATCAGCATAAGTTCAAATGGCACAGGGAAAATATGGTCATATACGACATGCCTAAGTATAATAATTATACATAAAAATATAAGTGTTCATGCTGTTATCAGCATAAAGTTGGTGGCTAAAGCTGCATCCAACACAGAACACATTTACAAAACAAAGGTGAAGATTGAAAAAATTATTTTATTAACATTAGAAAAATAGGACTATAAAATAATTTTTTCAATCTTCACCTTTGTTTTGTAAATGTGTTCTGTGTTGGATGCAGCTTTAGCCACCAACTTTATGCTGATAACAGCATGAACACTTATATTTTTATGTATAATTATTATACTTAGGCATGTCGTATATGACCATATTTTCCCTGTGCCATTTGAACTTATGCTGATGATGGATCTATGATAGATCCGAAACATGTACAACCCCCCTTCCAACTGATTATTTTTGTAAAATAAAGAGTGAAGATAGACTGTGTGTTTTACTCCAGTTCTTTAACTATTCTCTTCACTGTGAGACATGGACTACTATTTCAAAATAATACATTTATGATAGTGTTTGTTGATATGTACTTCCAAATTATTGACATTGGAGCTTTTAGGCCATGACATATTTATTCATGCATTAAATTGCCAGATTATCTTTTGTTAATTTCATAATATTTGTTAATTTGGTTGGTAGAAAACTTTTAACATAATTATGTAATATTATTTTTTGTGAAATGGGGACATCCTGTATATAAATAAATACAGAAATTCTATAGCTTTGTTTCCTATATAAAAGAAATCCCAGTTGACTGAATGAATGCCCCCCAATAAGAAAAATATAACAATCATGAAACCTAATATTCTATAATCCTTCATCCTTCTAGATCATTATCCCATCTACATCGAAACAGTACATGTCTGACAAAATACCATATGTGTTCCGCCAAAATACAGACTATTTATATTTGACTGGTAGCCAAGAACCTGATACTTGTGTTGTCATCACAACTGGGCAAAGTCCAAGGTAAGAAAGATGAGTTTATTCTTCGAGTTGTTGACCTCTAGCGATTTTCAGTGATCACAAGTCAACATTGTTTACAAGAGACAAAGACGACCATGCAGAACTCTGGGATGGACCCAGGACACATCCAGAAGACGCTCCTGCATTTTTTGGTGTCGACCATAGCTTGCCGATAAGCGAATTGTCCAAATTTTTAGGTTCCTATAGAAAAACGGTACCAAGTTCCAATTTATGGTAGGAATACTCATTTAATATTAAACCAGTTACTTTTAATAAACAAAAATTTTAGGTATGACTTTGAAGGTTCTTCTCATAAAGATATCCACAGGGTAGTCTGCGATTACATAAAAGATTCATCAAATAAAAAATTTGAATCGCCCAGAAATTTTATACACAAATTGAGGCTCTATAAAAGTACTGCTGAAATAGCTTTGATGCAAAAATCCTGTGATATAGCTTCCCGGGCTATTGTTGAAACAATGAGTTACTCTAGACCCGGAATTGGTAATAAGGAATAAATTAAATGTTTTTTGTAACCCACATGAGCTTTTTATTGAAGGTGAAAATCAACTTTTTGCTAAAGTAGATTTTGAATGCAGGGCAAGGGGTGCGGAGTTTTTAGCTTATCCACCAGTTGTAGCTGGAGGCAATAGAGCTACTACCATCCATTATATTAATAATAATCAGTTGGTGTATACTAATGAAATGGTGCTTATGGATGCAGGTAAATGTAAAACCTTGTAATATTGCAAAAAACCCTATTAAATAAAGATTGATATTTATGAAAATGGTATAAATATTATGAAAATTTAGGTTGTGAATATCATGGTTATGCCAGTGATATCACAAGAACCTGGCCAGTGAATGGAAAATTTACGGACCCTCAAAGAGAAATTTACGAAATAGTTCTAGAAGTTCAAAGGGAACTAATTGCATTATGCAATCAGTTGCCCAGTTTGGATGCACTTTTTGAATGTATGTGCCTGTTGCTTGGAAAGAAATTGCAAGAGGCTGGCCTGATTAAGACACAACCATCCAATACTTACTTAATGAAGGTGAAATGTCTTATGCCTTGAAAATAAATTGTATAATGTTTTTATTAATATTTAGGCTGCCTATAAACTATGTCCTCACCACGTCTCGCATTATTTAGGAATGGATGTCCATGATACACCTTCCATAAATCGCAATATAAAAATTGAACCAGGCATGGTCATAACTGTAGAACCAGGTAGGATTTTTTAGGATAAATATTATTTGAAACATTAACAAACTACATTCATATCTAGGTATTTATGTTAGTGAAAAATCCAGTCTTCCAAAGGAATACCACGGTATTGGCGTTCGGATAGAAGATGATGTACTGATTACTGTAAATGGTCCTGTGGTGTTGAGCAGGAAATGTCCGAAGGAAATTGACGAAATTGAAGAAATAGCCAACTGTGAAAATACTACAAAAAGCTAATTTTTTTTCCTATAAGGGTAAAATAATTTTGTTGATTTTTGTGAGAGTCTATTTTTATAAAAAAAATTGTTATGGTTTGAAAAAATATTAAAAGAAGTTTTATATGGTAGAAATAACGTTTCTTTTTTTATTGCGCAAATATATTATCAGACAATACTAGCGTAATATACACTAAAATCAATATGCAAACTTGTATACTCCTTAAAATATCTTAAATTACACCATACATTCATACCTGCTTTGTTCCCTTACATAAAATTTTCATTAATACTAATTCTAATTTTTTTACAGATAAAATAGGGTATTCATCATTTAGGTAAAAAAATAGGACCTAAACCTGGAACATAGCTGTGAGCATCACATTTACCAGTCCATCTCTGCTGTTTTGCTAGGGTCTCCTCCAGGATATTCGCCTGTGAGGCAAGCTGTGCAGTGTCCCAATTTTGAAGTGCTTTTGCTCTTAATATCGGATCTTACTGCTTTGATTAAGCCTTCGACGCTTAGGTATTCCAAGCTATCCGCACCTAAACAAAAAATGGCATTTTCAAAACAATATCTTTTTTTGACATAAATATGCTACTTACCAACATGTTTGGCCAATTCTCTAGAATTCAATTTATTAGCTATCAGTTCTTCTCTTGTCGGTATGTTGATTCCCATGTAACAGGGATATTGCAATGGGGGACTAGCGACTCTTATGTGTACCTAAAATATATATTCAATACAAGAATACACTCTACAGAATAACAAGAATGTCTTATAAAGTGTTGATGTATATCTTTTATTAGGTAAATGCTCTGACAACGTTCTTTTTTTATGCTTTGAGAATATTTTATGCAGTCAAGTTGGAATAATTTAATGAGAAAATTGGTTTCGAACCCCGCTCTTCGTTGTTCATAGTTCTGACAAAAAGTGAGCAAACTATGATATTCAATGAGTCTCACACAAAAAGATGTGATGAATTCCAGACATTGGGAAAGAAATGTTAGTAATAATCTATAGAAACATGCAACAATCATATAAGCAGAAATCAAATGGATACTGTGTGGTTAAATGCAATGACACATCAACAAAAGTAGTACTACGATTTTGTGTTAACATATTGAAAACTATTGAATCTCTAGTAACAATCATATGAAAACCAGAACAAGCACTTGAGGAAAGAGATCTTGGTTTTGGTGGATAGTGTGGAGATAGCAAAATAGTTTACTATTGATGTTCATAGAAGTTAAACTCGTCAAGAAACTATGATGAAAATAGAAACCACCTCCAAATTCAAGAATTTCACACGTTTCAGAAATGCAATGATAAAAAGTAGCTATCAGTGTTACCTCTGTAGCTCCAGCATTCTTCAGTAAAGTAATAATAGGCCCAATAGTATTGCCTCGAACAATTGAATCGTCTACCAAAATAACCCTTCTGCCTTTAACCATTCCGGAAAGAGCACCGAATTTTTTAGCCACCAAAAGTTGTCTCAACCGGTTGCTGGGTTGAATGAAAGAGCGTCCTACGTATCTGTTTTTGCACAAAACTTCAGCAAAAGAAATTCCACTCTGAAAATACTTAGCTCAGAAAAACATTCTACCTTTACATTAATATTGTTTTACCTGTCGTGAAAATCCATGAGCAGCGGCATTGCCAGATTCTGGTACTGCGCTTACCAAATCAGCTTCAACAGGGTGTTCAATCGCTAATTGTTTGCCACATTGTAATCTAACTGCATAAACCATTTGTCCTTCAAATATGGAGTCGGTTCTTGCAAAATAGACATACTCAAATATGCAGAAAGCCTATAACATACATAAAATAAATAATGATATTGTAGTATATTATCAAAATATTCTTACTTGTGCTTTATTGTCTGGCCTATGAATAATATCAATAGTTTTGATTCCGTGCCTTGTCATCTCAATAATTTCTCCAGGATACACTTCCCTGACATATTGCGCGCCTATAGAGAGAAAACCGCAGGACTCTGATGAAACTACCCAACCATCTGCTTCCCTATTTTCATCACAGTCTCCAGACAATGCTACAAAGAAAAACAAAATTAATATCAAACAAAACAAAATATAAAATAATTTCTTACGTTCATTAAAAGGTAACATTTTTCCTAAACACAATGGCCTATTTCCATAAGGATCCCTCAGAGCATAAATTTTGTCTTTTAACATTATCACCAATGAGTAACTTAAAGGTGCCAACTGCATAAAATGCCTTATTCTGGCTGGCCAGTCTGGTTCACCAGTAGGCTCACCTTCTGGTGGATTCAAGCAAAGAGCTTGAGTGATCAATTCACTATCCGAATGAGTAGACAAACCAACTCCATGTTCCAAAACATCTCTTCGGAGACTATCACAATTCACCAGCTCGCCATTGTGAGCTACAGCTAAAGCACCATGAGCTGTATGCACAACAAATGGTTGGCAATTGACTTCTTCGGAAGCTGCTGAAGTTGAATATCTGGTATGACCAATTCCAACGCTTCCTTTGAGCTTTCTCATTGAGTCATCTGTGAAAATGTTGCTTACCATACCCATTCCTTTGACTACATTGAAGTTTCTTGATGATTGTCCTTCACTGGTTACTATGCCTGCTGATTCTTGACCTCTGAAAAATGGATTTTTGAAAATTGTAATTTTAGGCTTTAATTAGTACACACCTGTGTTGTAAGGCTACAAGTCCCCAAGTTATAATTTGAGCAATTTCCAGGTGAGTTGGCCAATCGCCAGTGCCAATAGCTCCAAATACTCCGCATTCGTGAGTTAATCCAGACATAGCATCTCCTCGGTTTTTACGTTTCATATGTCCAACCGTACCTTCTGTGATGTCATATTTTACTTCACTGGTGCTAGGTGTCAGTCGTTGTTCGATGGTTTCGTTAGGGTCCATGATTCGGTACCTAATTGATTTTACTAAAATATATTTTGATTATAAGGTTTTAATTAAGATTAAAATAAAAAATGATTTACCTGTTTTTTGCGGAAACTTTCTTCAGTTAATCAATTCTTTTAGCGCGTCAAATGTGAAATAAACATGAAATTCGATATGATACCAGTTTAATAAGATTTATACGTTTGCACAATTATTGTTGTTTATTCTTTTAGTTTGTAATAATTTGATTCTTGATAACCCCCATCGGTGCTTTTTTGTTTTCTTACAATTTTGTATGGTGAAATGAAGACGATTTCGAAATAATTTTTGATAATTTGTTTCATCAGTTGCCTTTACACCGTCATAAGATGTTTTTTTGTTTTGATCTGTTATTTAATTAATTTTAATTATGTCAATCAATTGAAAATAGTTAAGCCTTCATCAACAATGATGTGTTTTCCAAATTGGAAAAAAGAATATGTATTTTGGTTTTCGATGATTACCTTCTTTTATCGCATACTCATTGCACCTATGAAATCACACTAAAAATTGCTTAATTAATTGAAGGGGTCAATAACTTTTTAGAAAATGCTTACTTATCTTTATTTCTTGTTGCAAATTAATATATTGTTGACACAATCAAGTTAATTTTGAAAATTTTCCACAGAGAGATGCGCTTTATGTCGTGATACGGAAAATTACTACACAAACATTGCAGTAAGTGAACCAGAAATCCGTATTTTTCTGGAATATTTACGAAATTTTGGATCGCTCTTGTGTAAGATGGAATATTAGGTGTAAATTTCGATTAGGTAGTAGAAAGTCGAATCTTAGAATGAGTCACCTCCTTACAAATATTATTTTTTTAAGTCTAATTACGAATATGAATGGTCTTCATTTGGATTGGTTCGAGTTTTCTGTATCTGTATTTTGGAATCAGTGTTATTTCTTCCAACGATCTAAGATCTACAAGGTTGCTACAGTGGCGGCACTCGGATGCCTTTGAACCAAAATCAGATAAAATAAAATGATAATTCAGTTAGCACAAAATTTTTGTCTACGCTTTGTCTCTTGTACTGGTAAATTTGATCATATCACCCCAATCTACATGCAGTATGAACATTTGAGGTTTCAGTCGCGTGTCTCTTCACATTTTGCTATTTTTGTTCATAAGATTTTTAAGAATAATTGCCCTAGTTATCTCTGATCTCTAATTGTGCCTAGAAATGACTTGCATAACAGGGACCTTAGAAATACAGTAAGATATACCGATACATCGATCATCCAAATTTAGAGGTATGTTGTGCATATCTGTCTGTAGAATTACTTAACTCAAATGTCAATGATTTCAATGAATGAGAACAAAAAGTCAAATCTCACAATTCCTTAATTAATAATTCATTAGTCATTTTTAAAAAGGTTTATAAAAGTCAAAATCTGTGTAGTATGAAAGTGTTTATAGAGGCAATAAAGGCATCATGGAAGAACGCCTCAGCGATTTTACCTTTTGTGTATGGTTTTTGTATTATATACTGTAAAAATTACGGAATAAATAATCTATTCTATGAATCCAAAACAAAAAAAAGCAACAAATATCATTTATTTGGTAGAAACACAACAAATCAGAACCTAATTTTCTCTATTAAATAAAACAAAAATCTAAGACATAAGCTCTATACCTCAAATCGTAATATTACCCAAGCGAAAAATGGAACGTTTATAAAAATGCCCAAAATGTCACCCTTTAATCCTTTGAATTACCTCTACCTACATGACGAACATGGTCAGATAGCATTATGATGGGACAACAAGAGTTAGCATGGCTATATTCCGGTCGTATAATAGAGGTAACTGAAACTGTTTCATGATGGTTCAAATTTAGTATGTTATTATTTAATTAAATACTAGAATCGAAAATAACAGTCAGACTTTAATTTGTTGGAACTTAACCAGTCAGCAATCAATTCAATTTTCAATATTGTATACACACAGGGTCCGCAGTTGAGCGCGCGTCGGTCTATAAGTGCTAACCTAATAAGGTTATGAATCTCGTTCATGTCAACCTATACTGGTCGTGAGACTCTATTTTAGGAAAATATTTTTGAGTATACAGTAAGGCTCAATTAGGCGTGACGATATGAAAGTCATTAATTTTAAATCAGACACCATGTATATGATTACATATTTGGATTTTATGTGGAATTTTGAGCAGGTTTTATGTGATATACCCTTTACCTAAGTTAAACTGTTTTGGAAAGATTGACAGTTAAAAATTTACTTTTTCTGCAACTTTGCCAGGCTGTAAAACTTTAACGGTTGATTTGAAAGGAAAACCGATCCTGCCTACATTTTTATCTTAGATTTTCATAAATTGTCATTCGACATCAACTTTCAATTTAGCCGGAGATTAAATTAAATTGCAATTTTCAATCATGGATTATTCAAAGTTGGTGTCAAATGATAGTTTCTGAAAATCAAAGATGAGAATGTAAGATCGGTTTTCCTCTAAAATTAACCGTTTAGGTTTTATAGCTTGTTAAAGTTGCAAAAAAGTCAATTTTCAACTTTCAATATTTCCAAAATAGTTGAATTTAGGTATAGGGTATATCATATAAAATCTGCTCAGAATATTACGTAGAATCCAAATATGCAATCACATACAGGGTATCTCGTTGAAAAATAACGACTTTCATATCGTCACGCCTAATTGAGCCACCCTGTATACTCAAAAATATTTTCCTAAAATAGAGTCTCCCGACCAGTATAGGTTGACATATGAACGAAATTCCTGACCTTATTAGTTCAGGACTTATAGACCGACGCGCGCTTAGCTGCGGACGCTGTATGTATAAAATATTGAAAATTGAATTGATTGCTGACTGGTTAAGTTCCAACAAATTAAAGTCTGACTGTTATTTTCGATTATAGTATTTGATTAAATAATAACATACTTAATTTGAACCATCATGAAACAGTTTCAGTTACCCCTATACGACCGGAATATAGCCATGCTGACTCTTGTTGTCCCATCATAATGCTATCTGACCATGTTCGTCATGTTTTTCATCAAATAAACGATGGATTGACAGATTTTCAGCTATCATGAAACTCTTTCATCGCGAATAATTTTTGACACATTCGAAGCTGCGTGGGCGTGGCTTGTCCCGCTACCTCACTTGCTGACTGGAGTATAGTTATATACATCACAAATACAAGCTTATATTAAATTTTCAGCTTTCTTAAAACTCTTGCACTTTTTTTGGCGCTGGCTCTCGGACTAAAACATAAATCAGCATTATGAACAATGAAATAATTTTGGCATCCTAAACTACATGAAGAAATACAGGGAAAATACATACACAGATGTAACGGGCTTAATATAATAATCATAAAATAGGTACTGTACACAAAACCAGACATTTCAAACAACCATGGCGCATTTTTTTTTAAATGAAATACCCTTTGACTCACTGCAAAGTAGTAGATACGTCGGTACTGGTGAGCCTATCAAATTTATACGATGCCTTTAATGCTTCACTTTGTAGAACTTGTCTTGTTGAAATTTTGTTGTAATTGATAAATGTATTTTAAAAAAATCTTTGACTGGAAGGGGGTAATTACCCCCTCTACCCCCCCCTTTAAACCGCCGTTGGTAGAAAAATTATCCAATGGATCAAGAGCCACCTTCAAAATTTGATCTATTGCCGGCTCTTGATTCTTTGGAAACCCTTCCTAGAGCCAATCAAGAGCCGGTAATAGTCAAAATTTGAACTTTTATTAACTCTGAATTCGCAAGAGAATTTTTTTAAGTGGATTCAAAGCTCAAGAGCGGATAATAATCAAAATTTCGAATGATCATTATCAGCTCTTAAGTTGATATCGATCAAAATTTCTTCTTCCGCAGCTTCTAATTGGCTCTTTTTAGTTAAACAATTTGCCATTAATAAAACCCTGAAGGAGAGACTTTTGAGTAGTAGGTAGAGGTAATTCAAAGGATTAAAGGGTGACATTTTGGGCATTTTTATAAACGTTCCATTTTTCGCTTGGGTAATATTACGATTTGAGGTATAGAGCCTATGTCTTAGATTTTTGTTTTATTTAATAGAGAAAATTAGGTTCTGATTTGTTGTGTTTCTACCAAATAAATGATATTTGTTAGTAATTCTACAGACAGATATCCACAACATACTTCTAAATTTGGATGTTCGATGTATCGGTATATCTTACTGTATTTCTAAGGTCCCTATTATGCAAGTCATTTCTAGGCACAATTAGAGATCAGAGATAACTAGGGCAATTATTCTTAAAAATCTTATAAACAAAAATAGCAAAATGTGAAGAGACACGCGACTGAAACCTCAAATGTTCATACTGCATGTAGATTGGGGTGATATGATCAAATTTACCAGTACAAGAGACAAAGCGTAGACAAAAATTTTCTGCTAACTGAATTATCATTTTATTTTATTTGATTTTGGTTCAAAGGCATCCGAGTGCCGCCACTGTAGCAACCTTGCGAAATTTTGATTATTATCCTCTCTTGAGCTTTAAATGCCCTTAGAAAAATTCTCTTGCGAATTTAGAGTTGATAAAAGTTCACATTTTGACTATTACCGGCTTTTGATTGGCTCTAGGAAGGTTTTACGAAAAAATCAAGAGCAGGTAATACTTCAATTTTGATTATCTGTGGCTCTTGATCCTTTGGATAATTCTTCTACAGCCAATTAGAAGCTGCGGAAGAAGAAATTTTGATCGATATCTATACTTAAGAGCTGATAATGAACATTCGAAATTTTGATTATTATCCGCTCTTGAACTTTGAATCCACTTAGAAAAATTCTCTTGCGAATTCAGAGTTGATAAAAGTTCAAATTTTGAGTATTACCGGCTCTTGATTGGCTCTAGCAAGGTTTTCAGAAGAATCGAGAGCCGGTAATAGTTCAAATTCTGATTATCTGTGGCTCTTGAACCAATGGATAATTTTTCTACCAAGGGCGGTTTAAAAGGGGGGGTAGAGGGGGTAATTACCCCCTTCCAGTCAATGATTTTTTTAAAATACATTTATCAATTACAACAAAATTTCAACAAGACAAGTTCTACAAAGTGAAGCATTAAAGGCATCGTATGAATTTGATAGGCTCACCAGTACCGACGTATCTACTACTTTACAGTGAGTCAAAGGGTATTTCATTTAAAAA